TACAGAAAGGGTGGTGGTCAGGTGGGGCTGGTCTCTTTCTCCAGACAGAAAGAGAGCACACAGCCTTAAGCTACACCAAGGGAAATTTAGGTTGGACATCAGGAGAAAATTCCAGAATTTTCTTTCCATTAAAAACTATCTGCCCGGGAGGTGCTGCTCTTGTTTAAACTAAGGGAAGAAAGAGAGCACACAGCCTTAAGCTACACCAAGGGAAATTTAGGTTGGACATCAGGAGAAAATTCCAGAATTTTCTTTCCATTAAAAACTATCTGCCCGGGAGGTGCTGCTCTTGTTTAAACTAAGGGAAATTTAGTTTGGATATTAGGAGAAAGTTCCAGAATTTTCTTTCCATTAAAACTTTCTCTTAATATCCAACCTAAATTTTCCTTTTTTAGCTTAAGGCTGTGTCCTCTTCATTCTGTCACTTCTTGGAGAAAGAGACCAACCCCACCTGACCACCACCCTTTCTGTAAAAAACTATCTGCCCAGGGAGGTGGTGGTCGTATTTAAACCAAGGGAAATTTAGGTTGGATATCAGGAGAAAGTTTTTAATGGAAAGGGTGGTGGTCAGGTGGGGTTGGTCTCTTTCTCCAAGAACTGAGAATGAAAGCACACAGCCTTAAGCTAAAAAAGGGAAATTTGGGTTGGATATTAGGAGAAAGTTTTTAATGGAAAGAAAATTCTGGAATTACCTGCCCAGGGAAATGGTGGTCTTGTTTAAACCAAGGAAAATTTAGGTTGGGTATCAGGAGAAAGTTTTTTACAGAAAGGGTGGTGGTCAGGTGGGGCTGGTCTCTTTCCCCAGGAACTGACAGAATGAGAGGACACTGCCTTAAGCTAAAAAAGGGAAATTTACGCTGGATATAAGGAAGAAATTTTTTACAGAAAGAGTGATAAAGTTCTGGAATTATCTGCCCAGGGAGGTGCTGCTCTTGTTTAAACCAAGGGAAATTTAGCTTGGATATTAGGAGAAAGTTTTGAATGGAAAGGGTGGTGGTCAGGTGGGGTTGGTCTCTTTCTCCAAGAACTGAGAATGAAAGCACACAGGCTTAAACTAAAAAAGGGAAATTTAGGTTGGATATTTGGAAAAAGTTTTTTACAGAAAGAGTGATAAAGTTCAGGAATTGTCTGCCCATGGAGGTGATGGAGCCACCATCCCTAGGATGTGTTTAAACAAAGCCTGGACGCAATTCAAAATTAAAAATTTTAAAAGCCCCATTTAAACAAAGCCAGGGGGTGGCAGTTTGAACCCAGTGAAGTGCTGCTCTTCCCTGCAGGTACCTTCGTTGCCCACATCATCATCCATGAGCCCCCTGAGCCACGTGGCCCAGTGCTCGTCGTCGCCCGCGCAAAAATTAAAAATTTTAAAAGCCCCATTTAAACAAAGCCAGGGGGTGGCAGTTTGAACCCAGTGAAGTGCTGCTCTTCCCTGCAGGTACCTTCGTTGCCCACATCATCATCCATGAGCCCCCTGAGCCACGTGGCCCAGTGCTCGTCGTCGCCCGCGCTGGGCTCGTACATGTCGGGGGTGATGTCGGGCGCGCGCAGCTCGGCCTCCAGCTGCCCCAGGGGAACGTCCTTCAGGGGCCTCTTGGAGCGCGTCCTGAAGGCAATCAGGCTGTCCTCCAGGGGCTGCGGGGAGAAAGCAGCACCCCTGGCGTGGTCAGCACAGGAAAAGGGGTAAAAGGGACGGGGAAAAAAAGCGACAAAGTGACGCCAGAACGGCCCGGGGAAAAAACTCGGAGCAAACGCCAGGATGTCCCAGGGAAAAACACAGAAAGTGCCCCCAGAATGTCCCAGAAAAAGCACAGAATGTCCCAGGAAAAAGACCAGAAAGTGCCCCCAGAATGTCCCAGAAAAAGCACAGAAAGTGTCCCCAGAATGTCTCAGAAAAAGCAAAGAGAGTGCCCCCAGAATGTCCCAGAAAAAGCACAGAGTATCCCAGGAAAAAGCCCAGAAAGTGCCCCCAGAATGTCCCAGGAAAAAGCCCAGAACGTCCCAGGAAAAAGCCCAGAAAGTGCCCCCAGAATGTCCCAGAAAAAGCCTAGAATGTCCCAGAAAAAAGCCCAGAAAGGTCGCCCAAAATGTCCCAGCAAAAGCCCAGAACGTCCCAGGAAAAAGCTCAGAACAAACCCCAGAACGTCCCAGAGAAAAACCCAGAACAAACCCCAGAACGTCCCAGGAAAAACCCACAAAGTCCCCCCAGAATGTCCCAGAAAAAGCCCAGAACGTCCCAGGAAAAAGCTCAGAACAAACTCCAGAATGTCCCAGAAAAAACTCACAAAGTGCCCCCAGAATGTCCCAGAAAAAAAACCAAAACACGAAGTCTCAGGAAAAAAACCCACAACGTCCCAGGAGAAAACCCACAACGTCCCAGGAGAAAACCCCAGGGAATAAACAAAACAAAACAAAACAAATTTTAAAAAATAAAAATTCAGAAAATGCCCAGGAAAAAAATCCTGGGAAAACAAACAAACAAACAAACCAGAATTTAAAAAAATAAATAAATAAATTAAAAATCAGAAAAACCGCAGGAAAAAGCCCAGAAATTCTCCTCCTCTCCATAAAACTGTCAGCAAGAAAGGCAGCAGCACCTGGTAGGAGTCCATGCAGACAGGGCTGGAGGCCAGCTCCTCATCCACGGCGTGCAGCTTCTCCATGAAGGTGCTGTCCTTGCTCTGCGTGGGCTTGGGGGGTGGTGGGGGTCCCATGGGAACCACTTCTGCACTGATGTGTCTAACAACAGCTGGGGTGACCTTCTCCACCTGATTGAAAAGGTTAAAAGGTTTTATTCTGGCAGATATTTCCAAGGACAGAGTAAATTTGTTTTTCTGCTTGGGAAGAAAGGGGAGAATTGGTCTCTTGAGTGGTGAGAAATGGGAGAAATGCTTCCCAGAAGGATGTGGAATTGTCCTGATTACATTTATTCCAATTCACAATACATTATTTTCTAACAATTACAATAGTTCTAATATTACAATATATTCTAATTCACAATTACATTACAACCTAATCACTTTGCTTTTCAGAAAGTACAAAGAAATAGGAAGTTTTTCTGGAGATATTTGGAAGATCTGAGTATCAGTCTCAGCATTATCAGAGCTGATAAACCTGAACACCAATTATTGTGGCAGAATCCTCCCAGAAACAAACTGCTGGTGAGCAGGATGTGGAAATATCAGTATAATATTGCTGGGTTTGATCCCATGTCACTTCCCAGGGGTTTCTGATTCTTGTTTGCTGACCCTTGGCCTGCACCCACCCTCACCTTGCCTGTGCCACAAACACCTTTATGCTTTCACCAAACTAATTTCTGCTCCTAAGCCAAGCACAGGAAGCCATTCTCTGCACTCCTCAGAAATTATCAGAAAAATAATCATTTTATCATTAATCTAAGGAACTGACAACAGTTTCCATGCCCAGAGCTTTATTTTAGACTCAACCCTTCTGCAGGGGAACGTGGCAGTGGGACCCTAAATCCACTGGCAGCTGGAATGTCCCCACAGCTTCAGGAATTGACTTTTTTGGGGGGTTTGGATGGATAAATCAGGAACAACTGCTTCCTGCAGCTTTACCTCACAGAGGGTCCCCCCCTCCTCATCAGAGGAACGCCTTGTCCTGGACCTCTTGGCTCCACGAGGAGAAGAAGCTGTGCTCTCCACGTCGCTCTCCAGCAAGCTCTGCAGGGCAAGAGGTGCAAAACCCTCTCCAAAACCATCCTGCCACAATCAAGAACTGCTCCAAACAACATTGCAGAGACTCTCTTCCAGCCAAATGAATAGAGCACTGAAGAATGATTGCTGGAAGATTTACAAGTGCCCATGTGTTCAAATAAATTGTGTTTTGCTGCCTCAGACACAGAAGACACAAAGTGAATTTACCTCCTCTGCAGTCTCATCCTCCTCTTCATCATCAGGCTGGTATTCTTCATCAGAGGAATCATCTTCCTCCAGGGGAATGTCCACAAACTGAGGGGGCTGCACACAAGAGAAAGAGGGTGACCACTGCTAGCAGCAGGAGGAGGAGTTCACAGTCAGAGCAGGTATTTCAAAGTGAGGAAACACCCTGAAGCTCAGAAAGGAAATCCTGAAGAAAGCAAAGAAATAAATTACTGAAAGGTTGGCAAAGGAAAGCAAGGAAAAAACCCAGGGAAAAAAAAAACAAAACAAAACAAACAAACAAAAAAAACCCCAAAAAACCCAACAACCACAAACAGAAAAAGCCCAGAAAAAAAATCCAGGAAAAGAAAAAAAATCCAGGGAAAAAAAAAAATCCAGGAAAAAAGGGGAGAAAAAAAAAAGCCCAGGGGAAAAAAAAAAAAAAAAAAATTCCCCCCCCCCCCAAAAAAAAAAAAAAAAAGGAATATGCCAAAACAAAAGAAAAGGGAAAAAACAAAACAAACAAACAAAAAAAAAACCCAAAAAACCCAACAACCACAAACAGAAAAAGCCCAGAAAAAAAATCCAGAAAAAAAAATCCAGGGGAAAAAAAAATCCAGAAAAAAAGGGGAGGAAAAAAAAAGCCGAGGGAAAAAAAAAAAAAAAAAGAAATTCTCCTCCTCTCCACAAAATTGTCTGAGAAGGTGCAAGAACAGCCACAAATAATTTCGTATTTATATTTAGCATTATATTTATTATAGGATGGAAACTGCATGAGCAGACACCAGTTCAGAGATGATTTTAGTACACAAATCTGCTCCAGCCCCCCAAAAGATCTCAGCCTCAGCAGGAAGCTCCAGGCTGATCTCCCCTTTCCCAGCAAGAATTCACTCACCTTCACCTCGTTTGCCTTCTTAATTGGAGAAATATTCCATGTTGGAATCACCTGGGGACAGCAAAAACACCCAAAAACCCTTGGGCTGGGTCAATGAGCTCCAATAAAACCCTCAAATCTGCCATGGGGTCTCCAGGAAAGGAATTTGGGACACTGGGAGCTCACTGCCCCTGCCAAGCCTGGCCTGGCTCTGCTGCTCAGCTCAAATTAATGAAAAAGGTTTCATTGTCTTAACTCATTCTTCACATTGCAAGACTCAAAGCACATTTATGCTTCTCTTGGAGGGTCACACAACCAAAAGCACTGAGAGAGCATCAGGACAGGCTGAGCTGGAAGGGACAAGGATCATGAATCCATGCCCAGACAGCCCAAGAGCCCCACCCTGGCATCCCTGGGGGCACTGTCCAAACCTTCTGGGACATTCCCTGGGGAACCTTTCCTACACCCACCCCAAAGCTCCCTGCCACAGCTGCAGCCCTTCCCTGGGTGCTGGCCCTGTCACCCAGAGCAGATTTACTCACCCCTCCTTTCTCCACCACCTCCTTCAGCTTGGAACGAGTCATTTTGGGCTCCTGAGAGTTGAAAACAAAATAACAGCAACAAATTCAGTCCTTGCCTTAAGGACAGGCTTCTCCCCAGCAGCTCTTCTCTATGAGTAAAGTTACCATGAGTAAAGTAGAGCTTACTATGAAGCTTTTCTCTTTTTTAAAATTTATTACCTTTAAATTCACTGCCTTTAATGAATTACCTTTCAGACATCACCAGTGTGACCTCAAAAATAACTCCTCCTATTTCTGTTTCATAATTTACTACTACTCACTTCATCCAGGTGGCAAATCTGATCATGAAACCTAATTATTTTAAGTTTTTATAAATTTTATAAATTCCTTTTTTGTTCTACCTCCTCTCCCCACATCCCATTATAGCCCAGGAAGGCATTTGGAACAACAGAAATAAAACAAACTTGAGCAAGATTTTGACTTACAAACAAAGGAATATCCTCTGTCTCACTGATGGCTGCTTTCACCATGGCCACCACGTGTTCATTTGTGATCACTTCCTAAAGGAACACACAAAACCAGGGTGTTTATCAAAGAGAAACAGACAATACAACAAATGTTGGAATAAACTACCTGGAAATACAATGGGGAAATACTCAGTGTACAACAGGCTTTGTAATTACACTGCAGCAAAAATGATTGTTCAGAGATCAGACAGTAAAATTTAAATTAATTCATCTAAAATAAATTTATTTATTCATTTTAAATTAAATAAATGAACTAATTTTAAATTTAAATCACAGCAGTGATTAAAACATTTGCACTACATTCTCTGTGAATGCTTCCCAGCAGAGAGAAAGAAAATAATCAAAACAAAAGCCCACACCAGTTTCCCTGATATCAGTAATCAGTCCTGTCATGGAATCAGCAAAATGTGCTGATCCCAGTCACAGGAGGAATGCTGCTGTGGAGCTGCAAGAGAAAACCTAAATCTTGATTAAACTTCAATCTTTAAGCACTCACAGGCTCCCAAATCTCTGGAGAAAGTCTGGACACTTTCCAGTGTGGAACATGTGAATCTATGGAAAACGTATGGAATAATTTCCAGTGTGGATTATGTGAATGTCTGGAGAAAGTATGGAATAATATCCAGTGTGGAATAATATCCAGTATGGAATATGTGAATGTCTGGAGAAAATATGGAATAATACCCAGTGTGGATTATGTGAATGTCTGGAGAAAGTATGGAATAATATCCAGTGTGGAATAATATCCAGTATGGAATATGTGAATGTCTGGAGAAAATATGGAATAGGATCCAGTGTGGAATAATATCCAGTATGGAATATGTGAATGTCTGGAGAAAATATGGAATAATACCTAGTGTGGAATATGTGAATGTCTGGAGAAAATATGGAATAATATCCAGTGTGGAATATGTGAATGTCTGGAGAAAATATGGAATAATACCCAGTGTGGAATATGTGAATGTCTGGAGAAAATATGGAATAATATGGAATATGTGAATGTCTGGAGAAAGTTTTGAACACTTTCCAGTATGGAATATGTGAATGTCTGGAGAAAGTCTGGAATGATATCCAGTCTTTAAAACATTTCACTGCTGCATTCCAGAAAATTTGGGAGAAATAGGGGAAGGCAGCAGAGACACAGAATCCCATTTTCTGCTTGCTCCCACAAGCTCCAGGGAAGGCAGGTGGCTCTGAGGAACCTCCAGTCCTCCCCCAGCAGCACATGACAGAGAAATGCATTCATTTGGGGCACTTGCACAGAATCCACTGGTGAATCTGCCTGGAAGAGCCATGGCAGTGCCCAGGCTGTCTGCCACAAAAAGGGGAAGTGTCTGAGATTACCTGGATTTGAACAATTCTGCCTGCAGGGAAAAGAAAATTTTGATTTTTGATCCTGTGGGAAGATAAATACTATTGCTCTCCAGATCATATTTTGGGATGAACTGAAAAGACTCAACAGAGGTGCAGAGTTACAGCTTCACTCCAAAGCTGTGACAGCACAAACACTCTTCTGGCAGCTCCTCTCTGAGGGCTGTTGGACATTAACTCAAAGTGATACATTTCTGTCAGCACCACTAGAATTCCACCAGAATTTTATGAGGAAACAGCCCATTCAAAAAAGGAAACAGAGTTTACACCTGGTCCTGTGGGCCCAGGAGGATCATTTAAATTCAGTTATTCCTGCTGCTGCTGCTCAGGAAAAGCAGAAGAGGCCCAGGGATCCACAGCTGCAGGCAAAGCAGGCTCCAGCTGGGTGGCAGGGACACCACCAGCTCCCACCCTCACAGCTTTATTCACTGGGGTCCCTCTTGACAGGTTTATTAGCAGAGATCAGGATGTGGGGGGCTTTTTTGGCTTCCTTTTTCTGCCTCTCTGGAGGCTGGGATTGAAGGCACTTGAGATGGTATTTCATGTTCAGACTCAAGTATTTATTATTTTTTACCCGTGTTACAGTCTCACAGCAGTGAGTTCTGCAGCCGTTCATTAACCAGGCACAAAATGGCTACCTAGCTCTTGTTACAAGTTTTTTTAAGGCTAACCTATCCAATTAAGAAATTACACCTAAATTATTTTCACTTTTAAGCCAATAACTGATTGCTCCAAGTCCACAGGGTGGACTTTTCTGTTCAATTACAAAATACCACCCAAACCCAGGGAGAAGGAGAAGGGGAGGAAGAAGGAGAAGAAAGAGCCAGAAGAAGAAGAAAGAGCCAGAAGGAGAAGAAGAAAGGGCCAGAAGGAGAAGAAGAAAGAGCCAGAAGGAGAAGGATCAACCTCCACCCTAAAGCCTCCATCTTGCTTCATATCTATTACTAGATTCTAAAACCCCAAACCCTAAGTTTTCCACCCTGTGACATTCCACACTTCCAATCAAACTGCACACCACAACCCCAGTGCTACCACTCAATTTTGGAAACTTTCTCCACGGCCTCAGCTCAAATGCAGTGCCCTCCTGGGAGTCAGAGTCTGTCAGCACAGAAACTCTAAAACCCTCAGCATCCAGAACTCCAAGCAAGGGTTCTGCTGAGCAAGAAAGAGCAGCCAAAGGGCCAGCACAGTGCCCAGTGCCCCACTCACGTGCAGGATGTTCCTGACGTTGACCACGGTCAGGTTGTGCTGCTTGGCTCCATCCTCCAGGGTGCGGTCCAGGGACTCGTCCAGTTTGATGTCACAGGACAAGGAGCTCTCTTCTTCCTGGCTCTTCCCTTCTCTCTTCCGTTTGGTTGCCTTCCTCCTCCTCTTCCTCCTCTCCACGTCCTCCCCTTCCTGCTCCTCTGAAAAATCAGCAGAAATGGAATCTAAAAACCTCGGCTGCTTCGTGTCCAGGAGGTGGTGAGGGGATGAAATAAACACAAACCAGAATTCTGCAGAAAACTGGCAAAGATTCTGCTTGCAAGACTTTCCTTGCAAAGGTTCCCCTTGCAAGACCCTTCTTGCACAGATTCTCCTTGCACAGACTCTCCATGCAAAGATTCTCCTTGCAAGACCCTTCTTGCACAGATTCTCCTTGCAAAAGTTCCCCTTGCAAGACCCTCTCTGCAAAAATTCTCCTTGCAAGACTCTTGCAAAGATTCCCCTTGCAAAGATTCTTGCCAGAAACAGCAGAACTTGCCTCAGCTGATGCAAGAGCACCCAAACAGAAACAGCCATGACAACCACAAAGTCTTTTGGGTGATGGATTCCAGTTCTGCAGGGCCTGACTGAGTTACTTGAGCACATCAAGGTCATGCAGCTGCCACCTCCTCCAGAATGATTTATAAAATGGCCTCAGCAGCTTTTTTACACCTTTAATAGTGCTGTAAAACTCCAGGTACCACACAGCAAGAACAGTTTCCAGGACTTAGAAAGTGTTTTCCTGCTTTGCTGGCTCTGAGAAAGAAAAGAATCTTCATTTTCTCTGAAGCAGAGCAGGGATTTTTTAGTAGCCAAAAACTGCAGAGATGAACTCCAGCAAGCTCCACTGAATTATGGAGCACAAGATGAAAATCAATAAATAAAAAAAAGCCCTGCACCTACACAGCCCCCACCATCTTCACAATTCCAGAGTTTGCTGTATCAGCCAGATTTATCCTAAACAGCCCCAAACCCAAATTTCCCTCATCACTCTGCTGGGAGCACTCACCAGCTCTGGAGTTCTTTGGTGGCTTCACGGTGGGGGGATTTCTGGCAGCAGAAACCTGCAGGGAGCTTCTTCCTGGAGACTCTGGCACTGCAGCAGGGTTCTCACCTGGATACAGGTCCCTCTGAGAGCTCACTTCCACCTCTGTGTACAGCTTGGGGATTTTCCCTGGGAACAGAACACCCAGCTGCAGGCAGACACACCACAGAGCAGAGACAACACACCAAAGTGCGTGCTCCACCTTATAAATGAATTTCCCATTTATTTCCCATTCATTTCCCAGCCAAACACATCAAAGCAGCAGCCACAGGTGTGATGCAGCTGCACAGGGCAGCAGATCCATCCTGCTGGAAACAACCCCTCTAAATTCATTTCCCGTTGAATTTCCCATGCAAACACATCAACCCAACAGCAGCACGGGCAGCAGCAGCAGCTCCACGCTGCAGGGAACAAAACACATCAACCCAACACCAGCACGAGATCCATCCTGCTGGAAACAACCCCTCTAAATTCATTTCCCATTGAATTTCCCATGCAAACACATCAATCCAACACCAGCACAGGACGCTGCAGGGAACAAAACACATCAACCCAACACCAGCACGGGGCAGCAGCAGCAGCTCCACGCTGCAGGGAACAAGGGAACAAAACACATCAACCCAACAGCAGCACGGGCAGCAGCAGCAGCAGCCCCACGCTGCAGGGAGCAGCCCCAGGCACAGAGATCCCACTCCAGCTCTTTGCTCTCTCACTGCCAGCTGGGCACAGCCACGCTCACACCCACCCCTGTCACATCAGCCAGCTGCCTGGAGATCTCTCCAAAAAGTGTTTGCAGTCCCTGTTGTCCAAGTGCTCCTGCCACAGGAGGGGCAGGCACAGCCAGGGGTCACTCCCAGCTGGAGCAGCACCCCTGGGATGAATTTTCGTGGCCACCCTGGGCTGATGAGCCCACATGGCTGCAGGGTGGCTGCAAACCCTCCAAAGCCTGACCCTCCTGTTCTGGGCAAACCCACAGCCAGAAAACAGCTGGGAACTGCCCCGTCCCACCTCCTTCCCTGTCACAGACTCAGCTTTCAGTCAAATCAGGGAGCTCAGCCCAGCAGCACGAGCAGCAGAGAGGATTCTCACTGGGAACCACAGAGTCCATCAAGTCTGAAAGGCCACGGAGGGGCACCTGTGCCACCCTGCCCAGGCACGGCCGTGCCAGGGCACAGGCACTGCCAGGCGGGGCTGGGTGCCCGGGCAGAGGCTCCCCAGCCTCTCTGGGCTCTGCTCAGGGCTGGCACTGCCCAGGGCAGCAGCTCTGCCTCCTGGGCAGGGGCAGACACTGGGCTCAGGCCCTGCCCGGGGCTCTGGGGCAGAGCTGGGACACACTGGGACAGACTGGGGGACACTGGGACAGACTGGGATGGACACTAGGACATACTGGGACAGACTGGGATGGACATTAGGACATACTGGGATTGGGTGCCCGGGCAGAGGCTCCCCAGCCTCTCTGGGCTCTGCTCAGGGCTGGCACTGCCCAGGGCAGCAGCTCTGCCTCCTGGGCAGGGGCAGACACCGGGCTCAGGCCCTGCCCGGGGCTCTGGGGCAGAGCTGGGACACACTGGGACACACTGGGACAGACTGGGGGACACTGGGACAGACACTGGGACACACTGGGGGACACTGGGACAGACTGGGATGGACACTAGGACATACTGGGATGGACATTGGGACACACTGGGATGGACCGGGGGACACTGGGACTGACTGGGGGACACTGGGACAGACACTGGGGGACACTGGGACAGACTGAGGGACACTGGGACAGACACTAGGACAGACTGGGACAGACATGGGGATACTGGGACAGACTGGGGGACACTGGGACAAACACTGGAACACACTGGGGACAGACAGGGACAGACTGGGACACACTGGGAAAAAGGGGCGTGGTTACGCAGGGCGTGAGCGCGGGGGCGTGGCCTCGCCGTGCCGGTGTGTCTGAGGCAGCGCTGTTAATTTGTTTAATTGATTTCGGCCCTCCCCGCGCGGCGCTCGGAGGGCGCAGCGCGGGTTTTCAGATAGGGGCGGGTGAAATCAGAGCGGCGGGATGGGAGGGAGCGCTGTGGGGCACAGCTGGGGGCACCCTGCCCAGGGCACAGGGCACTGCCAGGCGGGGCTGGGTGCCCGGGCAGAGGCTCCCCAGCCTCTCTGGGCTCTGCTCAGGGCTGGCACTGCCCAGGGCAGCAGCTCTGCCTCCTGGGCAGGGGCAGACACTGGGCTCAGGCCCTGCCCGGGGCTCTGGGGCAGAGCTGGGACACACTGGGACAGACTGGGGGACACTGGGACAGACTGGGATGGACACTAGGACATACTGGGACAGACTGGGATGGACATTGGGACACACTGGGACGGACTGGGGGACACTGGGACTGACTGGGGCAGACATGGGGACACACTGGGACTGACTGGGACAGACACTGGGACACACTGGCACACGGACTGACTGGGACACACTGGGACTGACTGGGACAGACATGGGGACACACTGGGACGGACTGGGGGACACTGGGACACACACTGGGACAGACTAGGACAGACACTGGGACACCTGGAGACACTCAGAGACACACAGGGATAGCCAGGGACACTCAGAGGGACACCTGGGACAGACAGGGAGACCCCCAGGGACACCTGGGGACACTCAGGGACCCCCAGAGCCCCCAGGGACACCTGGGGACCCCCAGAGCCCCCAGGGACAGCCGGGGCTGGGCCCCTCTCAGCGGAGCAGCTCCCTCAGGCTCTCGCTGTGACAGGGATGCTCCAGGCCCCTCGCCCCCGGCCTCACGGGGGCCAAGGGACACCCACGGGCCCTTCCCCACAGGATCCCAGCACGGCTCGTGTGGGGAGGGGACACAAATCCCACCCAGCGCCCCCCTGCCATGGCAGGGACACCTCCCACCGCCCAGCCCGGCCTGGGACACTGCCCGGAGCGAGAAAACAGCGGGAGAACATCATTTTCATTTTAATCTGTAACACTTCCTAAGGAAAAAAAAAACCCGAAGGCGGGGCGGGCGCCGCAGCGGGGCCAGCCGGCAGCTCCTGCATCCCGGCCGCCAGCATCCTCCGCTCCGGGCCCCGCTCCCGCGGGCCCGGCCTCGGCGGGGCCATGGCCGAGATCACCAGTGTCCACCCTGGCTTCGGTGAGTGCGGCCCGGCCGTGCCGGTGCAGCGCGGAGCGGCGGCAGCGGGGCCGGGCCGTGCGCTGCGCTGCGCGCCGCTCCGGGGCCGCCGCACCCCG